AAAAAAAAAAGAAAATTACGAGAAAAGTATGATCGCAAAAACTAATATCTTTGTGTTTGTTATGAAAATCATCGTGGAAAATACAACGATTTTAGTTATCTCAAATAAGAAAGGGCAGACTTTCTGAATTGGCTGTGTTGATTTTCGATTAATCAAGAGAGACAGAGAGAGAGAGAGAGAGAGAGAGAGAGAGAAGAAAAAAATAGCAGATATGTTTAGAAAATCGTGGTTTCGGAGTTTATTTTTCTCGTTGTTTCTTCTTCGTACAATTCACGGTTCAATGATTTCGAAGAGAAGTAATAGCGATGATCTTGCACGTAAGTTCACAAACGAGATAAATACAGAATCCCAGAAGATTTTATTTATTAATAAATCCTAAACGTAAACATTTTAATATTATGGTTTGTCAATATTGGATAAGCGAGTATTATAATAGGTGTATGTATATACATTTTCACATAGCTTAGATGAATATGTTTCAAAAATTTAGTTATAATTTGTCATCGAAAGCTGCTACCTGGCAAGAAAATGACGGGATTGTTCATTGAGCGGGTCGTCAATTGTGAAAATCTACAAGATTGTTGTCGAGCATGTGATTACGAAAAGGCCTTTGCGTGTAAAGGTTTTAATCACAGGTATGTGAAGATATGTACACAATACGCTACCGCCTCGAAGTATCCGGATACTTATATCATTCTTTACAAGATTATAATAATTACGTTTTATAATATAATAACATTTTTTTAATATGATCGTTAATATTACATTTGATTGTATTTTATGATATAATAATATTTTTTAAACATGATTCTAATTAATATTTTAAATATGACTGCAATTATTATAATCATACAATCAATAGTATGTGGAGTAAGTTTTAAGTGGAAGTAAGTACAGATTCATAAATAGATGATTTCATAGGGAATTGAAAGGATTGTTACATATAATTATTAATTTGCTATTAATTCGTGTGGTGTCCGAATACTTATAAGCGATAGTGTACAATGTACCTTGTAACACAACATAATGTTTATTCGTTAAATCTCTCACTCTAATATGATTTCGCTCAATTCTGATGATGAATATAGTTTACAAATTATGACAATTGATCTAATAATATTAATCTCGTCGTTCCAATACAAGTCGACCAATATAGATTATAACATTATTTTATTCGAAGGCGAAGAACCGATGATTCGAAATGCACGTGCGAATTAACGTCAACGCCGCATTTCCGAATGGATGTCGACGAAGATTTCTCGAGCGATTCTTATTACGATTATTACGAGAAGATTGAAAATTGCCCTACGCCGGCGTGGCGTGATAACAGCGTACCACGTTGGAAAAGTAATATCAAAAATCCGAGAGGACATAGTCAAAACACGTGGCTGGATCGTGACAGCGTGAATAAAGATTTCCTAGACACAGATCATTCGATTTATAAAGATAATTATCCACTAAGTCGTGACCCAACTTATGATTTTTCTAATGGCCTCGCACAAACTGGCAAACTATCTCATTACGACGATTCTCATGGTAAATAATAATAATAACAATAATATGTATAACAAATACAGTAAATATAAATTTACTATAATAGTACTATAATGACAGTAACGATAAACTACTGTATTTTCGATCAAATGCAATTTGTTTGAAAGCATTCAAAAAAAAAAAAAAAAAAAAAACAATGAAATCTTCGAGATATAAAGTACTGTTGCATTTGTTTAAAACATATGGAAAAACAAAATTAGCGATTTTATGAACGCGGAAGATTTCAATGTTTCGGAATACTTTGAGTTTGATCAGAAACATTTTGCAGAGATAATAGTAATAAAATTTATTGTTTAATATGATTACTATAATAGTTAAAGGAGAGTGGGATCTTGATATATTTGGCAATTAAGTAAGACTTGTATAGGAATACGTCCTACTATTCCTATATTATAGCGTAATCATTCTCTACTTTCTTGTTTCATTTTTTAGATTACGAATAAATTCAATCAGTATTTAACCCTTAAACAATAGCATGGCAACTCTTTTCAATCAACTTGCATTATCAAATTTTAATATCAAAGCTAATATTAATAATAATACAATAATTCTACTATTAATGAAAGGATTCATTAAAAATTCCAAGGATTTATTTAATACTTTTTTATCATTATGTCTCCCACTTAGATTCTATAATTTCATGAAATTTAAAAAAATTGAAGTACGATAGAGTAAAGTCGCCTAATATGGGGCCTCTCTTAATATGAGACCCTAGCTTATTTTTATTATAAAACTGTCCAACGATTTTCCTTGTTCTAACTAAGCGTTTATTAATTGTTTCGTTTGCACATTGGCGTTAAAAATCATTGGACAGATGTTAGTGAATTGCAACGCAAAAAGTTTTCGAAAGATTCTTTCGAAAGATACTCAGTTATAAATATCTTCAACATGGTAAGTTTAATCATTCTTTTAAATATTATTACACAATGCAGGCAGCGAAGTTTAAGATTTATTGATTATACGTTGCGAAATAATAAAGAATTAATCTTTAAATTATTAAATATTATAAAACAAGGTCCCCAATTATTTTCATTTTTTCTAGGCGGATTCCGCTAAAAAAGAGAAACAATAGGATAAAGATGGGATGGTATTGACAATTAAAGTAGTTTTCGAGAAGATAATATGCGTGATAAAAAAGCGACGAAATTGCTCAATGTCCTTAAAAGGAACTCTACCAACGTTACGTAAAAAATATCGTATAAATACGTAAAAAATATTTTTCTCCTGAAAAATTGCTAATTAAAGGAAACGCGTAAATGAACGTTCAAGTGAAGAAAATGATTAAAATATTGTTCTGGATGACGAATGCAACCGCGAAGAAAACTACGACGACGCGGAATACTTGTTTTATACAAATTTATATTCTTCCGGTGTGAACAATGGATTCAGTGTAATGTTGAGATAAATTTTGTATGCAGTGTATAAAAAGAAAAAAAAAAAAAAAAAAAAAAAAAAAAATTGAAAAAATGAGCTTCAGAAAAAAGATGTGGGATCATATTAGCATCTATTTTCCCGATCTGCGAATTTACATAATTTTTATTTTTAACTTTTTAATTAGATTGTAAAAGAAGAAATGTCATAGTTTTAAAATGTGTAAAAAAGTTCAAGAAAAGTGCTTTTGGTCGAGAGTTATGTTTTTAGAAAAAGATTCCCATAGGCGACTTTATCCTATTAGTGCAACTATTGAAATTAAAATATAATAATGATTATTATTATAAATCATTATTTGATCTTCAATTGGGTTAAATACTGCCACACTGTTGTCGACACTGTTAAAAATGAAATAGGAAACAAAATCTGTTTTATACTTCATAGGTTTTGTGCCTCGTTACCACGATATAAATTGGAATCGTAATTGGAAAGGCTCAGATACTCGTTATCCCGATATCGTTAATGACAATGTCTTCCCCAACTCTCGCATTCATTACAATAAAGAACATTTCGATGTAAAGCCGTCAAGTTTCTCCAATTCACGATTGGAAGATCATCATTCTCTGACACACGAATATCCCATTCCTAACGAGAACGAGCAATTTTATGGAAGATTCTACAATTATGGCGGTGCGTTCGGCTATAATGATAATTACGTGTCCATTCCAAAACAACAATATTACGAAAAACACGAGACGTCACAAATGACAAGAAAATGTTCAGTGAAAGCCGCCTCAGGTTCAAAATTAAGCAGAAGCATCTTACGAAAGACCTGTGTGGCACATGACTTTGAACAATGCGAAGAGTTTTGTACCAATGAAACGAGTTTCTCTTGCGAAAGCTTTGCTTACAGGTGAGCGAAAGAAAACAAGAATTTTTGCTGCCTAATTAACAGAGTTGGGGGAACTTTTTATTTGAGATGAGATCAACAGACGAAAAAGAAAATCTTAGGATCAAATAAATTGTTTTTAAATGCTTTTCCAAATAATTTACTGTTACATTTTTTTTAGAGCAAATATTTAGCAAATATTCTTATTATTTATTTGCAAATTTCATTTTAAATTAAATATCCAACTCTGATAATTAGCAAAAATTCTTCTATTATTTTTCTTATTATTATATTTTCTCATATATATTTTTATTTTTTAATATGTACAAATAATTTATTACGTACGTAATATGTCTTTTTATTTTTTGATACGTGCAAATAGCTGATTACATAAAACAATAGAGGAAAATAAATAATAAATAATTCATCGTTATTTCTTTATCTGAAGTAAAATTTCAATCCTAAAATTTTCTACAACAAGTGTTCAAATACTCTTTCGGCAGCCGCTGTAGGATGTTCACCTACTTTTGTCACATTAGACATTAAAATTCAGCATCAGTAGTTGAACATCAGCGTCCTCATTCTCACGTCAGAGAACGTCAAGGACACCTCTCGAATTATATGTTATTAATTTTATTCTGCGTGCTTGCACAGATCCAGCGTGCTAACCACGAATCCTACCGATAATTGTTTACTAAGCGATCGTTCCTATCAGGATTTAAATTTCTACACTGATCTCGAACCAAATCGCGATTATGACACCTACGTACTAACACCAGATACTCAGAACTGTTACTTGAAGAAATCAGCAAATCGATATCCGTCGGAAGAATGTTTCTCGAGGATCAGAAGTGGATTTACCATGCCGATGGATATCACGAGGAGATCGACATTTGTCAATGATTTTGGAGAGTGTCAACTTGCATGCACCACGTCACATGAGTTCATCTGCAGAAGTTTCGTTTTCAAATATGCGATGGATCATCAAAAAGGATACAGTCACGAGCCTAATGTGTCGCCTAACTGTTTCTTGAGCGATTGGCCGGCAGAAGAGATAAATCCTATCGACATGCCAGATATGGATGGTGCTGAATTGTACGAAAGGAATACGTTATCTCACGGCTGTGAAATGTATCCTCCGTCCCTATCGAATCCAAATGTGATTGCCCCGTACGAGAAAGAACCTTCTCTGTCGCACATGGACGAACTTTGCTACTCTGAATATCACAGACCATGCAGATTAATGTCACACGCGATAGTTTCATTGATGCGAGCTATCACAAAGCAAGACTGCCGACGTAAATGTTCGACGATGAGAAACACCGGTGTGATACCTTGTATGTCGTTTAATTACATGTGAGTAGTTCATTCTCGGTGAGTATTTATATGTAGACTACTGTAGAAATGCATTCTAAGATATGCAGTTTGCTTAAAGTTTATTCGAAAGTTTGGAGCATCCTTTACTTTTTAGATGAAATAAACTTCTCTGCACATTTTCCCAAGAAAGGAAAATATAATTGTAACTTTTTTTAGGTTTTTAAGTTAATTAAAATTTTAGTACTTAGTAAAAAATAATATCATGTAATTTCTATTTTCTGTTCTCTTTTCTTAAAATGTTAACTTTTGAGGGTATAGATTCCTGCAATCTTTTACCAGTCCATATTTTCGACTTGGTTTTTCATAAGGCTAAATTGTGCAATAATTATAAAAACGTCCTAATATAATAAAATATCTAAATTATAATAATATTCTGTAAATGATACAAATGCTTGGTTAGTTCCCATTTGATTGAATTCCATGTCCATAAGAATAGAAATTTGCATAAACATCCGCAGTCTATCAGTACCAGTCTGATATTGCAAAAGTATCATGTAATGATGATTAATTTCATTCACAGCACTCCTATCGATGATACACGGAATAATTGTTTTTTAAGTGAAATATCAATACGAGATCTAAGACCAAATCTGGACTACGTTCATGATAACGATCACGCGTTATATGCATGGAAAGATTTTGATCCCTACTGTGGTTTAATTGCTAATTCTTTCAATACGACAAATGCACCAACGTTTGAAAATCATGATCAACCACGTCCTCCTACGTTTGGTTATGCAAACGCTCAAAGAACACCCGAGAGCGAAACACATCCTCATGAGCCAACTTTCTATCCTTCCACTCGATGGAGAAATAAATTTCGATCCGATGATCATGAACACGATTACAAACAACATAAGTTTATTAATGAAGATAGCAGACCTCCTTTTGAGCCAGGTACTTTCGAACATGGACTAAATCTCTTCCACTGTTAGTAAGAAAAAAAAAAAAAAAAAATTATTAATTATACAGAATAGAGCGCGCCTTGTTAATTTCGATGATCTTATGTTATCAAAGATCAATATTCTGAATAATTCTTCCTATGTATACATACATACATACATACCCCATATGTATACATATATAT